AAAGAGCATACATTTTCCTGATTTATGTTACCTGGTCATTGTTATTGGTTGCGTTATGTTGACAGAATTTACGTGTTTCCTTCCCTCCTTTTTCTCCTTTTGTCATTAATATGCAAAGTGCCAGCACTTACCAGACTGCTCAGGACCTCAAGAACTGCATTGCCTAACGCTCCTGTTTCAGCCATTATGTTGTCATGAGGAATACCGAAACCTTCAGGAGGAAAACAGAATGTGGGGTTTTCAGATTGCACATCTTTTTGAACAAACTTTGCTCCTAACTTTTCATGGATGTGTGAATTTTCCAATATTCTCTTTGCCCTTTGGAATCGAGTGATGCCATCCAGGAGCACAGGGGTTGTGTCTGTGCAGTGGACTGAATGTCACTAAGTCCACCCGGCTCCGTGCCTTCCAAGGGGATCGGTTTTTGATAAGTTTTCTATATCCCTGTTTACCTTCATTTTGAAGATGCCCCTACACCACATCGAAGATACTCAACTCGTGGAGATTGGAGAGGTGTCAGCTCTTTAAATAAGACATCATTTTTACTTAATACAATTAAAAAAAGAAAACCAAAGTTTTCGGTATGAATTCAAATAGTGGGAAAATGTATTTCAGCTTTTTGGGCAGCCCAGAGAGCTCCAGGGAGAACTTAACCCAGACCTTAGCCGACTCCCACGCAAGCTTGATCCTGCCGTCATTCTGTCTTGCATTCCACCTTGCTGGCGAGCGATATTTCTTTTGCTTCAACCACACGCTTAGTTTTAAGATTACCAGATATCTAGTGTATGGGTTTTAACTTTTTTCCACTTAAGGAAACAAAACTAAGTAATTTTAGTCTATGAATCTAAACTATATCAACAACTTTTTAAAAAAACACTACACATCCCATTTCCAGTACCCCTTAACTGTGTCATCATTAAAACAGTTTGAGTTTGTTTAATCTTCTTGTATTCAGAGACTTAGAAGTGACTTAGTCACTGCTTTTGAAAATTTTCTTCTGTAAATGTTTGTTTCTGTTTATTTCTAGTAGATCTCATTTTTCCCCCTGAATCTTTATGTGACCTGAAAGTCCCGCCTCCGTAATTGTTCTAGGCATTTTCAAAGTTCTGACAAGTTCAGGGTCTAGAAGTACAAAAAGTAAGATGTTAAGACACATTATAATAACTATTTCCATTTCATACGTTGTTAAGGCTATATGTTGTAGAATAGATTTTCAGCTAATCTCTTCATTTTGGTTTTGAAGGTACTGTTTCTCTCATGGGCTTTTCTTTTCTAATTAGACACTTCATAGCAGTTAGGGTTCTAACGAAGCTCCTTTCCTTGTCCGATGTGCTCACTGCATGTTTCCCCCACAGAGCCCGCACCAGCTGCCGCACCGGCCGCCGCACCAGCCGCCGCTCCTGTCGAGCCGTTTGACAACACCACCTACAAGAACCTCCAGCATCATGACTACAACGTGTACACCTTCTTAGACGTGAACCTGGACCTCTCGAACCGGAGGTTGCCTCAGCCCTCTTCTGGCCGAGAGTCGCCTCGCCACTGAGAGCTCAGTTTAATGATCATCCTTATGTTGTCTGCTGCATTCTTACCTGCAAAATAAAGTCTGCTCGAGTCATAAGGCCTGGCGCGTGTCATTGGTTTCCCTTTTACGCCTTCACAGTGAATGGTGAATTAGCAGCATGACTGCTGATCATTTATTCAGCATGTGGTTAGGAATTTTTCTTTTAAGCTATGGCTCACTGGACACATCCATAAAATTAGAGAACGTGGGTGCTTTCTGGCAGTGTGGTTCTGTGTTGAGCCCCTCGGCAGTTTAGCGTTAATCTGGGTTACCAACTAGGTGTTGACAAATGGAATGGCAGCTTCTAATTTTATAGACCTTAATAAATTAGGAGTAGGAATTCGCTAATTTTAACTACTGCATTGCAAAGAAATAATATTAAATTATAGCCTTTTATTATCAGAAGGTACAGAATCCTTTTGTTTACTTGAATTAGGTATTTGATGTAAACTCAGAAGCTTTTGGTGATGGGATTAGCTAGAGGAAATTGTTTTTTAATATATTTTTATTGATTTTATAGAGAGGAAGGGAGAAGGATAGAGTTAGAAACATCAGTGAGAGAGAAACATCGATCAGCTGCCTCCTGCTGGGGATGTGCCCACAACCAAGGTACATGCCCTTGACTGGAATCGAGCCTGGGACCCTTCAGTCCGCAGGCCGACGCTCTATCCACTGAGCCAAACCGGTTAGGGCTAGAGGACATTTTATAGGGTCCAGCAGCATCTTTGTTCCCAGGTGGCCACAGCCAACCCAGCTAAATTAGCTACAGTGGCCGAATAACCTTCCCTCCTTCAAAGTGTTACATGCTGTGGGTGTGCGTCATGCAGTGTGCACCAGGCAGCCTGTGGGGACGAAGGAAGCAGACTGCTGTGAGACAGTCACAAATCTCTGTAAGAGTGCTGCTGATTCGGAGCAGAAATGAAAGACAGCATCTAGTCCTCAGGCAGCACTGAAACAGCCTGACATGGGAAGCTTGTCTGCACATACATGACCGTTTCATGATTGGCTTTGTTCTCACGCTTCCCTTGTTTATGGGCTTCATTTCATTTCATAGGAATTCTGGTCCTTGGCCTCCAGTCAATTTAGCAAATACTGTGGATTTGTAACTCATGATTCACATTCCTGTAATCATACATTTCTTAAAATTAGTCCAAGTAAGAATACCAAAATTGAAAACAGTCTTGAAAACTAGTACTAAGATTGTCTGCCTCAGATTTTCTTACCACCCGAGAGGCTTAGCAACTCAGCAAGTCTTCTAAGCACATTTTTTATTATAAAAGTACTAAAACCACATTACCAAAGGGAAAATGGAAAGTAGTAAGATTACCTAAAATCCAATATGCTAACCCAGCCATTATTAACATTTTACATGTTTCCCTGGTGGTGGTGGTTTTAGTTGGATGTAATAGTGTATAATGTACATACAGTTTTCTGTTGTGCCGGTTTTTTTTTCCATTTAACAGCTTGCTTGTCAAACTGGCCCCCAGAACCCCTATAATGTGCGGGGGTCTCAGGGTAATAGGGGAAATAGAATATGAAGCCACAGAGTGTGTTTCCCTGAACTGTTAATGCCACAGACTTGACAGTCTTTATATAAAAATGTGTATGAATATATTTCAATTTGTGTGAAGTTTTCCCTTAGGATCAGTCCTGTGGGGTTGACTTTCAGTCTCCCTGGGACTTTGGTCCCCTCTCCTCTACCCACCAAAAAAGGCTTGAAAGGAAACAACAGGCAGTGTCTGGCGGGTCTGCGTTTTAGACCCATCGTCGCTAATGACTCCTTCATGTCCCATCTGGTGGCGACACGATGGCTGCCCACTGAGCGCAGTTTGCGATCTGTGTTATTTCCCGTGTTCTCGTTTGCGGAGTGCTGCCAGAAACAGCGGTGTGAATTTAACTTGTTTTGTGTTTGGTATTGTCTCCTTAGGATGGATTTCCAGAAATAGATCTGATGGATCACATGTGATTCCTGAACATTTGTCTTTCTTTTGTTTCTGTGAGATTTTTTTAAAACATATTTTTAATGATTTCAGAGAGGAAGGGAGAAGGGGAGAGAAATTAAAACATCAATGATAAGAGAGATTCATTGATCAGCTGCCTCCTGCATGCCCCAGACTGGGGATCAAGCCTGCAACCCAGGGATGTGCTGTGACCAGGAATTGAACCATGACCTCCTGGTTCATCGCTTGATGCTCAACCACTGAGCCACGCTGGCTGGGCTCTGAGAGATTTTTTTGAGCCAGTTTAATAGGTTTGAGCTAAATTAGGTAGGCAGTTGTTTTTATCTTCTATATTTTCCCTGTCACCTGCACTCTGGATTCTTTCTAGACATTTGATCTCTATACTGTCAAATCCTCTGATGTTTACTGGCAGCTGGCTAATAACTGAAAATCGCAGATGATTGGGGGGGGGGGGGGGCGGTAAGGAGGGTCTGATTCTGCCTCCAGGCACGGGCTTTGTATTTTAATAGTCCTGTCCCTCTGCCTGTCTCTCTAGCATTCAGAACCGGGAAGTGCTCAGCAGCTCGCCACCCAGCACTGTCTGACCTGGCCCCATGCTGGCCCAGGACGCCATCCGAGGCCTGTGAAATGAGCTCACCAACAGCACCACTTACTGCACCCCATGGGATGCTGCAGGAGAGAGACGCTAAGCGGTTTGTCCTGTGGAAGCAGGGAGTGGAGAACTCTCTTAGGCTTTGCCACATACATATAGTCAGTGTTGCACAGACTTTTTTTTTTAACCCTTTAAAAATGTTAAAATCATTGTTAGCTTGTGTGCCTTACACAGGGTTTCTCTGAGCAGCCCCCCTTTGTGGACCCCAGTATTAAAGGGCTCACCATAGACGACCGAATTGAATAAAAGGGCTGGCCAGAGAGAAGACTCAACAAGGGGTGTGTTCTAGGTGTCCAGCCTCCCTGGTTCTGCCTCCTCTCCCTGGCCCTCTGGCCCTTTTCCCTTCTCTTGCCCTTATTCTAAAAGGGATCTGAAACAACACCAGGGTGTAAAAAATTAACAGCTCAAGTGCTGTTTCTTCTAGAGCAATTTTCACTCTTATGGGCCTGTAATAAACATTAGTGTAAGTGCCTCCTAAGTGACAGGCCTAGTCTGGGACTGGGTTCAGAGACGATAAAGACAGTCTCTCCTCAGGAAGGGAGGGAAGCTAATGAAAAGCACCGCGAGGTAAGGTGCCGCATCCAATGACAGCGGGGTGATAACGGAAGTGAGCTGATTGGGGAGGAGGTGACGGTGGGCGTTCATCACAGAAGGCTGGGTGGGACGTGAATCCACCAGGTGCTGGTGGATTGTGGAGGGAGCCTGGAGGGTCTTCAAGCCTCAGGATGGGATATGCAGAGGCCTGGATGCTGAGACATCCGTTGGTTTTCAGGAAATTCAGTCCTTCCGCTGGAGACCCCGTTTGAGAGGGGACACAGCCGGAATGAGTCATGAGGGCTGAATCATGAGGCTCGGGCTCTGCTCTCTGTGAGTCAGCCCCGGCTGCCATATCAAAATACCACAGTGAACGGCTTAACCCACAGATTTATCGTTCTGGAGGCTGGAAAGCCCAAGATCAAGGTGCTCGCTGATCCAGTTCATGGTAAGAGTGCTCTTCCTGGCCTGCAGCGGCTGTCTACTAATACCATCACATTGGAGATCGGGCTTCAATATATGAATTTGTAGGGACACACATTCAGTCCATGTCAGGCTCTAACCTGTAGGAAAAGAATTTAGTGTAGCTATCCTGTTTTATAAAAAGAACCAAGCTTATCATCTGTTTGAAATACCCTGACCAAAAAAAAAAAGGAGGGAAGGGGCTGTAGCAGAGGACATAAAAGAATGGTAAAGCAGTACATGTTGAGACTGGGTGATGGGCAAAAGGAAGTTCATGATTCTGCTCTAACTTTTCAAGTGCTTGAGAACTTCCATAATAAAAAAAAGTATTTTTAAATCCTAATAGGAATATGGAGAATAAAGTTGGAAAGGAAGAAACTTGAGGCAGAGAGAGGAGACAGATCACTCTGCAATTCCTCCAGGCAGAGTGACGAAAAGTTGCATTCAAGCGTGACTCCTCTGCTGGCTGGCCAGGTAACTTGGAGGTTTGGATAGACATAGCCAAGCTGACGCCCCAAAAGGTCATTCCGGTTTATAATCTTTCCAACAGTTTATGAATGCACCTGTCCCATTACACCCTTGCCAACAACAAGCATCATGGTCTCTGATATTTGCTAATCTGATAAACAACTTTTATTGGAGTGTGGGTGAGCTTATATTTCCTTCAGGTTTACAGGCATAAAAAGCGAGTTGCTTTGATGATAACCACGTGTCTCTGTCTCTTTTTCTATCTGCTCTGTCCATTATTTGATACAGTTTTTCATTTTCAGCTGATTTTCCTGTAGTGTATCTAAACACACTTCCTATTTCTTTTCCGTGTCTTTGGACATCTAACCATTGGTGATACCGCTTTTGTCTGCTTTCTTTGAGAATGTATCAACACCCTGAGCCCTTCATGGGAGAAAAATTAGACAATGAAACCCAGCCAGCTAGGAGATGATTAACATGAAAACTCAGGAATTGAGGAGCCACAGTAAGGGGACTGGGGTTGGCCATAGAATAACTTTGCATATAGAATTAAGATGAAACAAATACAAGATCATGGTTGCAAGACAGGACAAAACTGTTAAAAATCCTGACAAAGTAAAAATCATAGAAACCAAAGACTCTGGAGGCTGGAGCCAGGAGCCGGGAGGCCGCCTCCCTGAGAGGAACCCAGCTCATCTTTCAGAGCAAGTCAGGCCTGTCTAAAATAGAAACGGGCTCAGGAAGCGGCGAGGCTTCGCTCGCCGTGGTTCCCAGCCTGCTGCTTCATTTCGGTGGGCTTTATTAGGAACCAGGGTCTTCTGGGGAAAAAACAACAGCACAGTTATTTATCTGAAGTTTAGAAATCCTTTCATTTTTACTTCAATTTCTTTTTATCAATTAAATTTAATAATTTAATGCTTTGTATTTTTAAAAGTGTCAAAATAAGTTCTTTTATGTCTGACAGGCTCTTGTACAGAAAATACTTTGTTTTAATTCTCTCCTGAGGATATTTTTTCCATTGATTTTTAGAGAGAGTGGAAGAGAGGGAGGGATGGGAGAGAGAGAGAGAGAGGTCGCACCCCAACCAGGGCAGAGAATCGCAACTGCAACCCAGGTATGTGCCCTTGACTGGGAATCAAACCCGAGACCCTGTGGTGTGAGGGCCAGCGCTCTAACCACTTGAGCCACACTGGCCAGGGCAGAAAATGCTTTTTTTTTTTTTAGTTAATATTTAAATTTTTAAAAATTATTGTAAAATTTAAACAAAATTTTAAATCAAAGCTTTAAAATGTTTTTAATATTCAATCTTTTAAGAAATCTATTTTTTTCTTAAAGCCTTTTTGTAAATATTATTAATCTATTTTAAAATATATTTTATTGATTTTTTTTTTTTTACAGAGAGGAAGAGAGAGGGATAGAGAGTTAGAAACATTGATGAGAGAGAAACATCGATCAGCTGCCTCTTGCACACCTCCTACTGGGGATGTGCCTGCAACCAAGGTACATGCCCTTGGCCGGAATTGAACCTGGGACCTTTCAATCCGCAGGCTGATGCTCTATCCACTGAGCCAAACTGGTTAGGGCTTTAATCTATTTTAAATTGATTATAGAGAGAGTCAAGTAGAGAGAGAAAAAACAACATTGCTTTATTGTTCCACTTATTTATGCATTTATGGTTGATTCTTGTATGTGACCTGAGCGAGGACAGAACCCTCAACCTTGGTGTATCAGGGTGATACTCTAACCAACTCTGCTACCCAGCCAGTGCTTATTACTCTATTTAGTAGTCATATTTTAACGATCACTTCTAAACTTAAAAAGTAAAATTTTATTGGACATGCATTTCTTAGTGAGATGTATTAGAACTATTCTTTTCAGTTAGTTTTTATATTCATGAGTGAAATTACTTAAGGCTAGAACAGTTCATGAAAATTAATAGTCAAAAAAAGGGAGAAAGCATAGATCACTATCAGGGATGAATTTGGATTTTGAGGGGCCTAAAGCTTACAGAATTAGGAGAGCTCATTTTAACAACAACAACAAAAAATGCAGAATTATGAATTCTAAGTAAGGTATATAAAAGTGAATATTATTTAGAATGAGAAAAAAATCTTACAGATTTTCAAAGCTGGTAGATACCATAAACCTCCTCACAAAATCCAGAAAAATAACATAATATTTTTATTAACTGCTTGACATACCTCCATATGTGTCAGGCAGTAAATAAAAAAACTTGTGGCTGCACACCTTTCAATTGCTTTGTGACGTGACAATTTTGTAGTACCATTTTGCTGGAATATAAAGGTACTTCAGTCTTTCCCCTTGCATGGTTGGTCAAAATTTGTTCTTTGATAGTTTAGATACCTTAAAAATGTGACTTCACACACAGATGTCCTTGCTGTTTGTACTACTGCCCCAAACATAGGTATTGTGATAAATTTTATTTCACACGATTCCCATAAAAAAAGAAAAAGTGAACCCATGTTTAATTGCACAGGCTGCACTCGGGAGTACATTCCTGCAGGAGAGGAATTCCTCGTCCCGGTATGGATGGGAACCAGATCCTTTGCTTACAACTTTTCATGACTGAAGGAATTTCCCACCAACTAGCTTCTGGCTTTGTGAATTTCAAAACCTGCTTCATCTTTTCCTCCACCTACTTCTGGTGCCAAGCATCTCAGGACATGGTCATAGCATGTTTGCGGCCAAGTCACATGTTTGTGGCCACATCACACGTTCACATTTCGTGTGCAAATGCACAAAAGGGGTGAACTGGGGAAGAAAAGAGGGCAGTTTCCTTGCACTTTTCTAGGTGGTGCAGACCTAACTGACCACCTGGACTCCCTGGTGGAAGCCACCCAGAGGGTTCCTGGGCCGCAGAACAGCTCCCTGGCTACTCTGTCCTAGGAGGCTGCCCCCCCACCCTTACCCCGACCCCCACCCCCACCCCCAGGAGCAAGACCTACACTCAGGGATCAGATCCAGCCTCTCCACCTGGGCACCCTGAGCCCTTGTTTCTTCCTTCCTTTTAAACACTGGCTTTGAAATCTCACGAATCAGAGCCCAGGCTCCAAGCATATCTTGATGTTTTTAGTTCCTCACAAGCCTTGCCAAGGTTTTTATTTTTAAATGCGGGGCTTAAAATACATCGTCCTCAGCTCAGAGCCAGCCAGAGGCAGCCAAAGTAAAGCACCGTCTTCTTCAGAACATATGGCCAGTCACTGCCGCGGAACGAGGGAACGAGGGGGTGCTAAGGAGAGAAAGGAGGCTGGTATGAAATAAAAATGCAGGTTTAGTGCATGGAAATTGGCAAAGCCTCATGCCACCAAAAGCTGTTTTCAAAGAGAGAATTTTTAAACTATAGAGTTTGTGGAAAAGAGAAAAAAAGGAAAGGGGTGGGAAAGACATTCCCAAAACTGACCGAGGCACTAGGAACCTGGATGTCCTATCTGAGCATGGACACAGGACACAGGAAGGGAGGGAGTGGTGTCACCAACAAATTTAGGACATAATTTAGGACGTAGCTGAACATGTACACACTGCTCTGTGAGGCTCATCTCCAGGATGGGCCCTCACCTCCGCCTGAGTGGTACTTAGTTCCTTTTCTTTCTCCCTTTTCTTTCTCTGGCTCTCCGTTTCCACCACCTCCCTTTTTCATTGTGCCACTGGGTCCTTTAAAGCATCCTGATTGTACCGCCAACTACACAATTGCAAACTCAGGTCATCTACACGCAGGGGGCAGCTTAAACAGCTTATGGCGCTTGAACCATTTTGAAGGTTTATTTTTCAGCATCTTTTGATGTTCTCTGTATATATTTTTTTTTGTCTCAATCTTTTGATTATTTAGTCTAAAACCCATAATGCTCCCCCCACGCTTTTAGCATGCTGGGAGTTTCCAGGTCTCTCTTCTGCTTCCAGTGAAGCTACAGTTTTTATTATTGTTATTAAGGATTTGACCACGTCGAGTAGGGAATTTTAAGTAGTGTTGCTGGATAGTCAACGTTTTAGATACCTGAATTTATTATTGCAGATAGTGTCATTAGAAAAAAGCGTGCACAACAAAAGGGGACTGTCGGTGGTGTAATTGTAGAGGCATTAGGTTAATATATAATGTAGAAGTCTGTGTAATGGATAGTTTTTATTCATCATAAAATTTTCAAATGACTCGCAGATGTGCAGCCCTTGCAGCTGTTTCTCCCTCGCTAATGGCCTTAGGCTCTGACTCAGAGATAGTTTGTGCCAATGGATTCTGGCAAGGACGATGGTTCTTGGTTCTTGTGATCCTCCCCCGGAGGAAATCATTCATTGTCAGCAGGGGTGATGATGACAAGCCCATAAAAGGCTGAGTGGGGAGGGGCTGGTGAAGGAAGAAGGCTGGACCTTGGCATGTAAAGAAGGCTGTTTGAAGCTGATTTCAAAAAGAAATATATTGACCCCAAAATTCTTACCATTGATTTACTAACTTCAAAATTCTTACCGTTGATTTACCCAAATCTGTTTCTATTTACAAAGTCTGCTTCCCCCACCCCCCACCTCCCCTTCTCACCACCACCACCCCCCCTCCCGCCCAAAGCAGGGCTGCCACGAACATCAGCTTGAAGCTAGAACTACAATTTGGAGAGGGAACTCCCTGCCAGCGCCCACTGCGCCCTCACCTGCTGGTGCAGAAAGTGTCTGAGTTCCATTGCATAGACCCCATGATGTTCCCCATCACACCGGCCTCCAGGGAGGAATGGCTCAAACTTGACCCCATAGGAATCACCCCAGGGTGCTAGCAAAAATGCCAATCCCTGGCCTGGGCTGTCAGGACCAAACATGCAAGTAAGGAGACTGGTTTTATTCTGGCTGCTACAGGAAGGAGAGGCCGCATCCAAAGATCAGAGTCCTGCCAGGGTGGTCTCACCTTGAACTTTTATGGAAAGGCCAGACTAGTCCCAGGCACGGTGACTTAGAGCGTCAGTGTCAGCAGCGGAGGGCAGTCAGGCAGCTGACAGGGAAATGCTCATCGCTGTGTCCAGCTGGTTTCACGGAACAACGCTAATCTTAGCTGAGCATTCATGAGACAAAGAACAGGAAACTGGGGCGGGCGGGGGTGGGGGTCCTGTGTGTAAAAGGCATCTTCTGCGACTCCTGTCCGAGTTGTGAGGAAGAGCAGACAGCAAGTCTTACCTAAATTACACAGGGAAATGGGGGGCTCTCAAGGTCGCTGTTTCCCGGGGGTTCAGCTAAGATCCATCCTTTTCAGCGCCACTAACCTGTATTTTGGACAAATGCCTAGTGACTGGAGACAGGTGGAAGTGGACCAGACTTTGAGCAACTCTGGGGGCACTGGAGTGGTGCAGGTGCTGCCCGTTACTCCAATATCACTTTGCCATTTCTTGGTTGGTGTTTGCTGGCCCGTCTCCTCTCACCTGAACTTTCTGACCAGAACCACCCAGGATGTCCCCGAGACAACGCTTGGTGCTGGGTAGGTGGTAGCCGCTCCCAAAGGGCACAGGCTACTTCCTGCTGCCTTCTCCCCACTCCTGTGCCTGGCCAGGGCCAGCGGACTACAGAAAGCACGCACACCAGGCAATCTGAGGACACTACCTGGCACTAGCTCCGAGCTGTGGCCTGTGGCCAAGGGATGCTGCAGTGCTAGCTCCTAGCGCCTGGTTACCAGGAGCTGTTTGCCCATCAAGGGAAGGACAAGGCAGGGAGCAGTTCCCAGAATCTGGGAGGCAGGTGACAGCATGAAGCTGGGAGGAGGGACCTGACTCATGGTGACCGGGTATAACCCCACACACTTTCTTCCCACCCTGTGAATGCTGACAGTGCCTGCCGTTGGCCAGCCCACCGGGAAGCCTGGAGGAGGGAGCCCGGGACCAGCCTGTGCAGGTGGCCCTCAGGGCACAGAGCAGGTGGGAGAAAGTGATTGTAACAATGTGTGTTATCCAATAATTAAAATCTAATATGACTGTTTTAAAACATAAATAAAGCAATAACAGAGAGAAACGCTGGACTGTTTGTGACCCATCCCTTCGCTCAGGATGGGCTGGAGCTCCTTCCCTCGAGGTGCCTGGGACTGTGCATCACCTGTGTGGCCAAGGCGAGAGGCCCCAGCTCCCCGAGGCGCTGTGTTGCGATCTGGGGGTGGGTGCAGGACTGATCATGACCAGGTACCTTTGGACCCAAGAAGAGTGTGCTGGGCTGAGCAGAGCGATTCTGACACCAACTCCGGCGCTTCGTGCAGGCCCACGGAGTGAGGGCACAGCCTCCCACAGGCCTGCCTCCATTCTAGACACCACCCAAACTTTAAGGGTTCCAGGCCACTGGTGCTTCTGGCCAACTGGGGACTAGTTTCAGGGGTTCCCACCACCCTTCTGATTCAATCATTTGCTAGAATGACTCAGAACTCAGGAAAGCACTGTAGTTTTACCATAAAAGATATAAATCAGGACCAGCCCAAAGAAGGGACCCACAGGGTGAGGTCTGGGCGGCCTCCAATGCAGAGCCTCAGGTGCCACCCTTCTGGCACATCCACGTGTGTCTCCAACCAAGAAGCTCCTATGGATTTCCCATGTTTGGAGTTCTCATTGGGGATTTTCACAGGGGCCCGATTGAACTACTGGTCACGTGATTGACCTCAATCTCCAACTCCCTTCCCCTCCCTGGAGGTCACGGGGTCAGCCTGATATCACTTGGCTCAGAGTCCCAGCTCTCTGAACCCCTGATGGTCTTTCTGGCCTGATGGGCCCTCATCCTGAAGCTATTTAGGGGCTGTCAGGACCCACCTCATTAGCATAGACTGGTATGGTCTGAGGGGTTAAAGGCTGCCTCGGAACTAGGGACAAAAACAGGCCAAATCCCTTGCTGTACTAGTACAACAGCTTCCAGCAGCACCACAGGGGATGAAGGAAACTCCCAAATCACCTGAGAGCTGCCAGGAGAGTCACCCACCTGTGGGGACAGTGGAGGGTGGTGACATGCCTGGCACTGTTCCCCTGAAGGCCCAGGTACCCAAAGCTCAAAAAGAAGTCAGGAGAAAACCCCAGACATTGAAGGTGTCTTAGTGGGAGACGGCCTTTGCTGTAAGTTCTCCTTGCAGGAATGTTGGCTTTGCCAGTGCAGCAAAACAAGTATTTCTAGAGCTGCCTTTGACCGGAGGTCGCACATTCATTCTTTATGACTCCATATGTTTGGATTTCAAATAGCATTCTTCTGAGTAAATGTCACTTTGGGGATTTAACTTCCTTGTTATTCTTTAAAGGGACTCTGATTTATAGTTTCAGGAAGTGAACTCTTTTAATTTATTTAAATACTCAGGGGCTGAGATAAATCCATCTATGTGAGTAATCTGTTCGAATATCGTTGCCACAGCTGACATTGTGTGGGTGACACACACTCTGTGTAACTGAGGAAATCAATTTGGGGATAGTTTGATTTCACTTATAGAATCAGTGTTAGGAGAGAGGGAATCGACTTCTGGCACCTTCCTTCCCCACAGACTCGCTGTATTCTTTTGGGTGAGATTCTTAACATTTCAGTGCTTCTATTTTCCCATAAAATAGAATTAATAATGCTTGCTTCTACTGCAGTGAAATAACATGATATCTGGGATTTCTTTTAAAGTACTTAAGGGGAGGGAGGAAGGATGGGAAACAGATGAAATAAAATTGGCAAAATATTAATAATTTTACAGCGGAATGATAGGTACACAGCGGTTCATTATTCTCTTCTCTCTACTTGGGTGCATGTGAAATTTTGTTTTTAAAAAAGGTTAGAAAATAATAACACCTGCCATTCTCCCGCAGAGAATGCGTGAACTGCATCCTGTCCTCGCGCACCTCTGGCCCCTTGGAGGAGGATGCCACGTTAACACAAGCCCGAGCTGTTACTCTGTGGCCCTCAGATTATTGCATCACACCTTGAGCGTCGTTGACAAGGAGACAGAAAATAGATGAGGACCCAGGGGAAGAATGGCTATAAAAGAGTGAGATAAACCTTCCAGAGCACGGGATGCTACCCAGAGGAATCTATCTTCGTCTGACAAGCGGGAGGCCCATCTGGGCACACTGGTGATGTAGGAAATAAATCTGCAATATATCAAAACTATATTGCCTCATAGCTGACGATTTATTTCTGAAGTTCCGTGTGTGTAATATTTCCAGTCTCCTAAATGGTAAATAATAAATTTTTATTTATAAATCACCAGTTCCCAGATGAGCACACTGAATAAAAATAAGCTGTTACAGAAGCTGGTTAATTTCTGCCAACCGACACCCAGTAACAGTGATTTACTGAGTTTGGGGAATCAGTGAGCCAATGGGGGAAGCTAATACATTGAAGAAGTTGTGCCCATCACAGACAAAGCTTATATTGTGGAAAGTGCAGTGGCATTGTATAGAAAGATACAGCATTGAACTGTGTGCTGTAAAAGTCATCAACATACTGTCCCAACCTGGAAGAAGTACATTTGAGAAGACATATTGTTGGCTTCCCACAAACCCCTGAGCTCTCTGTAATAGTAGAAGGAGAATTAGCTAAAGACTAGTAATACAACTGCTGTAGAAAAAAAAAAAACAACTCAGAAAGGACCAGAATGCCTCATTGTTATGTTGAAAACATGCCTCCACTTTCTGGATGTATGTTTGTCTCAGACTGTAGCACTGGCTGGGGGAGGGGAGCACAAGGTTTCATTCCTCTCGGCCTCAGTGATGAGATCCACAACTTGTTATAAACAAATTATTCTGTAGCTCAAGGACTCCCCGATTTTCCTAAGGCAGAACATGAATAAACATGAGTGTACAGAGAAAGTCTTCAGTAATTCAGGGTCGCTGATGACAGGAACAAGACAGGAGTGGGCGCTGATCTTTGTTAACAAACCCTTTGGTCAAGGAATGATCAGACAGTGTGAATAAGGCTTACAAGATAAATCTTTGAATAAGTAAGAAATAGTTTTAAAAAGAAAATTTGGGGCCCTGACCAGGTAGCTCAGTTGGTTAGAGCATTGTCCCAATACACCAAAGTTGCAGGTTTGATTCCTGGTCAGGGCACATACAAGAAGCAAGCAATGAATGTATAAATAAGTGGAACAAGGAGTTCTCCCTCCTTCTTTCTCTCCCTCTCTCCAAAATCAATAAATTTTTTTAAAAGAAAAATTTGAGCCTGGCCAGCTTGGCTCAGTGGTTGAGTGTCGACCTATGAACCAGTAGGTCACAGTTCAATTCCTGGTCGGGGCATAGGCTCAATCCCCAGTGTGGGGAGTGCAGGAGGCAGCCTATCAATGATTCTTTCTCATTATTGATGTTTCTATCTCTCTCTTTCTCTCTAAAATCAATAAAAATAGATTTTCAAAAGAAAAATTTGAAAACCTTTACATATAATTACCCAAAACTAAGCTGATTATAAAAGACTCCATCCCGTTGTTAAACAGGCTTCTAACAATCCTTATTAGGCCAGAGTTTGTGTTCCTTGTTCATATTGAAAGTAGAAAAGGAGACACCCAGCACTGGGATGAGGGCTTGACCTTGTCTTCATTGCACCGTGGGCTGTAGCGGGCCTTGTCTAGAAAGTTTTTCCCCTTAAAATGACCCAGATTCCTGCGGGCTCTCGAATTTGTGAGCACATTTTGTTTTCCGGTAACAAGTTTTATTCTTTAATCTTTGCACTGATTCTGGTTAATATTTGCACATAACAAAGGTTTTTTATTTATAGACAAATATATGTGGATGCAGCAAAACAAAAGTGCCGCCCAGCCCAATAGGCATCGAGAGAGATGGTGACACGGCCACCAAGAAGGCTGCTTTCTGACGGAGCTCACAGGTCCAGCCAGGCTTTGTTCTCTCTCTCTCTCTTTGTTTGAAAATGTGCTGAAGAAAACGAAACTCCGATGTCTCCAAAGATGGTAAACATTCCGGAAGATTAGGAAAATAGCCAAGAATGAGGGGGCAGAAGAAGAAATTTTTTTTTGCTTGATACTCTGTTTGTTGTTGTTGTTGTTGTTAATCCTTGCCCGAGGATATTTTTCCATTGCTTTTTAGAGAGTGGAAGGGAGGGAGGAGGAGGAGAGAGAAACATAGATACATGGGTGGGTTGCCTCCTGCACACACCCCGACCAAGGCCAGGGATTAAACTTGCAACCCAGGTATGTGCCCTCGACTGGGAATCAAACCTGCAACACCTCAATGCATGGGCCGATGCTCTAACCACTGAACCCATCAGCCAGGGCTTGATGCTCCTTTTTGTGCTTTGTGCTGTCCCAAAGGGCAGGAGGGCAGTGCATCAGCTCTGCTCCCTCTCCCTTAGGCATCCATCTTGGGCCCCCCAGGCGGGGCCACAGCAGATCTGTGTCCCTGCAAAGGTCAGTGCAGCCAGCTGGAGTACAAAGAGGTGTCAGAGGGACCCTCAGCCAGACCACTGAATCTGGGTCCCTTTTCACCCCCCTCCCCCACCCCCACTCCTCCTCAGCCAGGTGGTGGATAGAGCCCCTCCAGGTGGGATTGTCCCAGTGGGAGGTCGTGGGGGGGGGGGGGAAGCTGAGAAGGCAAGAGGGTAACTCTCTGAAGGGCACACTGACCATAAAAGAAGCATGCCTGCTCTCCGGATGGCCTCAATGTGTCATCATAGAGGTCTAAATAGAGAGGAAAAGGGATACTGTCTTTGTCAGCATTCTCTAGAGCAGCGGTTCTCAACCTGTGGGCCACGACCCCTTTGGGGGTCGAACGACCCTTTCACAGGGGGTCACCTAAGACCATCAGAAAACACATATATAATTACATATTGCTTTTGTGATTAATCACTATGCTTTAATTATGTTTATTTGTAACAATGAAATTGGGGGTTCACCATAACATGAGGAACTGTATTAAAGGGTCACGGCATTAGGAAGGTTGAGAACCACTGATCTAGAGAAACAGAACCAATCGAATAAAAATATATGTGTGTATATATATATATATATATATATATATGGATCTATATCACTATCTGTCAAGACACTGATTTAAGGAATTGGCTCATGCCATTGTGGGTGCTGGCAAGTCTGAAATTTTCAGGGCAGGTCGGCCGGCTGAAAATTCTGGTAAGCGTTGATGTTGCCAGGGTCTGCTGGTAGGATTCTTCAGGGGACCTCAGAGTGTTTTCTTGTAAGGCCTTCACCTGATTGGATGAGGCCCACCCACATCTTGGAGGTAATCTGCTTTACTCAAAGTGTACTGATTTAAATGTTAATCTCATCCAAGAAATACCTTCAGAGCAATATCTAGATTTGGGTTTAGTCACACAATTGGATACTCTAGCTCAGCCTGGTGGACACATAACACTAACCATCACAGATACCAAAGCTCAGGAAATAGGCTGTGCCCAGTGCAGCTGCACACACTTGTGTCATTTCACGGTTCTGGCTTACTGTGCTTCCTGGTTCATAGGTCAACACTCAAGGACAGAGCCACACCAGCCGGGCAAGATGAGAATGTTTCTGCAAAAATGAATGGTCAAGCCAGGTGTCACTCAGTGGTTGAGCCTCGACCTATGAACCTGGAGGTCAGGGCACATGCCAGGTTGTGGGCTGGATCCCCAGTAGGGGGTGTGCAGGAGGTGGCCCATCAATGATTCTCTCTCATCATTGATGTTTCTCTCTCTCTCTCCCTCTCCCTTCCTCTTTGAAATCAACATATGTACATATTTATATACACATATACATACATATATACACATCTTGTATAAAAGTGTAATATGCTAATTAGCCCACGACCTTCTAGACGAAGCCTGGGCTGCAAGGGAAGCATGGGTCCCAGGTGCCAGAGGGAAGCCGCAGGAGGAAGGAAGGCCTATTCTTGCATGAATTTTGTGCATCGGGCCTCTAGTATGTATATATTTAAATGAATGGCCAGTCGGGCAAACCCCATGCCTCTGTGCTAGGGCAGGTGATGACTTCCCTTCAAGTCTTGGAGAGCAAGGCCACCGGCGGGACCCATGGGTGCACTGAGGCAGCCTTTGAAAGTCCACCTGAGATAGGCGACACTCTCCATGTCCCCCAGGGAAGCCACTTCACCTGCCGACAGGCCTGCACGGGTCACCTGGGGGACAGATGTACTGAAGGCAAAGCGCCGGACCAGACCGGATCAGAGGCGTGCCAGCGTCGGTGGCTGGAACCCGCACGCCGGGAGAGACGGAGCCCAGGGCCAGGCCAGTTGTTGGGCAGAGACAGCCGGCGACAACTCCACCAGCCGCGAGCACACGTCCGCACCCGCTGCGCGGTCCGAGCTCGCGCCCACCGGGAGGCGGCGGGGGCTGCACACAAAGGGCGCGCGCAGGCCGAGCGGGTTGGGCGCCGGGCGCCCGTGAAGCCAACCTCCAAGGGCCTCTGAGGGCACGCGCGAGTCAGCCCGGGCCCACCTGCGATGGGCGCGCGCAGAGG